CTATAAACGTCAAAATCTAATTTTTTGATGTTTAGGAGGGCATCATCTGAGGCATTCAGTAGCAAATAGTTTTCTGTTTTTTGAAGTTCGATATTACTTGACAAAAGTTAATTTCCAAATTTATAGCAAAGCAGCACTACTGCAAGTAATGTTTTCAAAAACCTTTTTCTTAGCACTTTCACATCTGTTTAAGTTTTTAAGCAAAAAGAATTCTGATTAAAGGTTTTAAAAAGATGACTTGGTGAAATCTTGGTAAAATTTAGCAAACTTCAGCAGCTGTTGAAAAGAGAGTGAGTGAGAAGTGTGCAAACTTAGCATTTTTAAACAGTTTTTGGTACTGTCTTTGTAAGTTTAGCTTAGAAAGCGTCGTTCAACCTCAAAGTTTCCACTTGTGATTAATAGCCCTAATTTTTAAAATATAAATTTTTAAAAGAAAAATTTGTTAAGGAAATTAAACTGTGTTTGGTGAATTTTGGTTTGTTATTGTATGGAAATTTGAAATTTATTTCATTTCTGTTTTAGCAGCAATGTTTGAACATGCTCAGTTTTGTCGTATCATCGCTGTTTGGGTGCTCATTGTTACTGTAGCAGGTAAGAGCTCAATATTTTTCTTCAAAACTTCTACACTATTGAAATTATCTTTTAATTAGTCCGAAAAAAATTGAGATAGAAAGCGTATTGTAATAAGTGACAAACAAAATTTCAAAGATAAAGCAAAAATTATATTTACATAAAGTTTCTAATATTAATTACATTATTTTTTTGGAAAACAGTGGTCTAATTTTATACTTACAGTCTGAATGAATGTGCTTATAATTTGGATATTTTTAAAACCTGGTTTTTACAGTCGATAAGAAAAAGTTGGAAAAAGACTGGTAAATTGCTGTTTCACCGTCTTTTTGAATAACACAGATTTTCTAGTTTTATCAAATCAAACAAAAAAAAAAGAGAGAAAATATCAAGTAAGAAAATTTCTAATTGATTTTTAAGAACACCTAGTTGAGGCGGAATATATGCGAGGATGTTATTTTACCAACTGGGCACGATATCGAACAGGTTTCTAATATAGTTTTATTATCTTTGCTTTGTCAATTTTTTTTGTTACTTGAATTCTAAAATACTTGAATTCATTTATAACTTCTGAGCATTGAAGTATTTGTTTTTTTTTTTTTTTAGGTCGCTGTAAGTTCTCACTTGACACATACCAACCTGGAATGTGCACTCATGTGTTTTATGCATTTGCCAAATTTAACTACGATTTTGAAGCAGAGTAAGTAAAGTAGATAACTATACAAAAAAGTTATTCTAAATATAAAACTGTAGAGAGCTATCTCTGCCCCAAAATTTTGCTTATTACTGCTGAAAATAAATTTATAAAATAATCTAAAAATTTAAGACCAACTGACCCTGAAGATTTACCTTCGTCGTACTATATTGGAACCTACGCTACAGTGACTAATCTAAAAAAAATTGATCCAGACTTAAAAATATCTCTTTCTTTTGGTGGTTACTCGTTCGGAGGATACTTATTTGGAGTATGTCGTCTTTTTTTTTTTTTTTTTTTTTTTTTAAA